GCATGCATGCATGCATGCATCTGTATCCATCTTTATGTTTGGTATAGCTATGACTATCTATCAACTATATATGTTCTGTAATATTAAGTGTGTATAGATATATAATATAAACTATGCATATATATAAAGATAGCTAGAGCATGTGGATTTGTTCCACTAGGGTGCGTTATTTCAACTTCGTGATGATAAGGATCCTGACGTTCGGATCTCTAAAGGCGTCGTTTCTCTGCTTCTGTGGTGGTACGTTATGTTAGCTAGGTTCCTGCCACCAGCGTCGTGAACAACAGTGGCAGTACCAGCCAGTATCAGAACGTTTGGTCACATCTCCATGCCCAAATCCTTCGGGCCGAATAAACTTTATGCCCTAGGCTTGCAATTACATCCTAAGCCTAAAGCCTTCGAACGCCGAGTCTTTCAAGCCCAAGCCACCAAACCCCAATCCCCAAAACCCTAAGCCCTTGCAAACCTGCCACCCGAAGATCCCAAGTCCCCAAAGCATAAAGCCCTAAACCTTTCCGAAACCTTAAACTGGAGATCGTAAAGCCCCTAACATCTAAACCCCTAAACTCCTAAACCCTAAACCCCTAAACCCCTACACCCTAAACCCAGCAGCTTTGCCTGGAGGCGTACTCGGCGAACGAAGCAGGGCCAAGCCCAAACGTCAAAAGTCTCTGCAGGAGTTCAGGGCAGGTGAGCGAGTGTAACATAGAGGACACATCTCAAGGGGTTGTATGCAATGCTAGTATACAAGATGTACGAGATGAGCTAGAATGTGACAGAACATGGTCTAGAAAGGCACCGGTGCTCCCCGTTGGTTTAGCTAATCTTCAGCTTGGCAGATGCAGATGACACAAGGATCTTTACGGTTCAGGTCTCGGCAATGGGGAGTCGGAGCTTACGGCGTAGCATTTTCTTTTTTTTTTTGCAAGGCTGGGGGGAGGAGGGCTGAGCTAGGAGTGTGGGGTTTAATTGAGTTGGGAGGTTTACTTAAACTGTCGGTACAGCTGAGGCATTGCGCGTGCAAGAAGCGATGATCAGGTTCCCAAGATGTTACAGTAGCTCATTCCAGTCTGCATTCTAGTCCTCATCCATGCTTAAGGACATAATGCTTCTGAAGGCGGCAGGGTTGAAGAGTGGTCTGATATGCCAAAGCACCAGTAGTTAGGCTAGTCTGAACATGAGTTTGAAGCCGCGGAATGCAGCTGGGGCCTTCAAGGTAATATCAGTTTCTGGTTCACAAACTTGTCCCTAAGAGGAACCGAATCAAGTTCTGATTCACGTAAGAGGGTACTTCCTGAGAGGTTGCAATCCCAGGAGGACCCTTTGATATCCGTCTAAGCCCAGCATCCTGCGCAGGTTTTCGACTTCTCCCGCGCGGGGGAAGCGGGCGGAGAGGGTAGGCCGGGATTGAGGGCTAGGGCCTAGGGCTACCTGTTTGCAGTTTCGGGCTTAGGTCGCGCGACATACACCCTAAACCCTAAACCCTAAACAATATCCCCGAAAACAAGAAAGGGCCCCACACCTTGAAGCATCGGAGGTTTCTCCCGTTCGACGAGACCATCGCCCTCTCGGAGCAGTATGGCCTTCCCTTGGTGGCTTGGGCACCAGCCTCTGTTGGAGGGGAGTTGGGGGGGGGATTCGGGTCTCAGGAGTCAGGTTTTGGGCGTTCGGGCTTTGAAGGTTTCGTTTTGAATGCACTGTGTCTGCCCATCGGCCTCAAGCCAAGCGGAGGATTTGGATCCTAGCTTGGGCAAGCTTTCTCCTGCGGCTGTGTCTTTTCGGGTTCAGGAGATAAGCGTGAGTGGTTCAGGGCTTTAGGGTTTTCGATCCGAGGATCTTTGGCTTTGGCTTCGGGTTTTAAGATTCGAACGGCTAGTCTTGCAAGCAACTTGGAAACTCAGGCTTTCTCGGGTCAGGCCCTGCCACCCCAATAGTATAGACGGTGAGAGACCCTAAATAGTATCCTGATGATGCCCTCCCCAGTAGTACAGACGGTGAGACACCCTAACTAAATAGTAGGATCCTGATGATAAGGGCATTCCCGCAAGAAGCACCATGTCTCATCTCTCCATGGCATTCCCAGGAGAAGAAGTCCAAGCTTTCGGCGGAGGACTGCATTCGATTTCGGTGTACAGGGAAAACCCCGGTGTTTTTCCCTTTGGGCTGTACACACACATGTATATATATATATACATACATACATACATACACACACACACACACATATATATATATATATATACACACACATATAATTACATATATATATATATATACATATATATATATATATATATATATTTGTTTTGGGTCATGAATCTCATCTTTAAGCGATCTTGGACGAGATCCCACTACACGTGCAGGGCTTCTCCCGTTTTATCCGGCACAGAAGCACATGTCTGCCATCGCCGGTCAAAAAACTCATTGGATGTTCGGATGCCTTCGCATTTGCATGACCATGATTCTTGCGGGGGTTCATTCCCGTCCAGGCACTCTGGGACGCTCTGGCTATGTAGGTCACATCGTGTCTCATGGCCTTGTAGCCGGGCTTGACCCCATACCGCCTAAGCATCTAGAGCTGTAAGCCCTAGAACCACGAAGCCCTAGCCTAAGCCCCTAAAGCTTAAAGCCGTAAGAGCACTGAACCCTTCAAGCCCTTGTGGGTGTTTTCTCGTGTAGTCCGATGCGTTGATCTTTCGTTCAGATGAGGTTGATGTTCTCCTTGCGAGGATCGCTGACTTTCGGAAACTCCCAGAATGCCTTATGAATCCTCGCAAACCACATTAAAATACATTAACTCCCGCAAAATCCCATACATGAACTCTTGCAAAATTCTGTGTCGCCTTTAACAAGCATTCCCCAAACTGACTGACATCCTTTGACCCCTTTCCGGTCCCGCCTTGTCGCTTTTAGGAGATTTGGGCAGAGTTGCTCGCGGTCGCTTCCGGTCCACGAAACTACTCGACTGCACCGGCACCCCTGGAAGGCCGCAGGGTTTTGGCTTTAGGGGCTTTGGGAGATGAAGTTCAGCATATTTGGGTCTTCGGCTTTGAGGTTTGTTTCGTTTTTTTGGAGGATGTGGGGTGGGGCTTTGGTGTTTGGGGTTCAGGGTGTGGGGCTTAAGCTTACGCATGGAAGAGTTATAGTAACCCATCGGTTTGAAAAGGCAGCTCCTAAATCCTGAAACCTACAACCCGAAGCCTCCCACCAGCAAGAACCAGGAGGTCCCCCTTAATCCAGACTCCTCATTGAGGGCCTGAATAATTAGAACAGGCTTTTGAATGTATAGCGAAAACGCCTGAGAGATGGTATTGGTACCTATTTGACTATTTAGCCTAAACCCTAAACCCTAANNCCCCCCCCCCCCCCCTCCCTCCACCCGAACGAGGCTTTGTGGTGCGAGAGGCAGGCGCTGGCGGGCGTATCGCCAAGGCTCCCCTCAATCTGGCTGATTCTCAACACAGAGTTCGCTTACTTAGGGGGGGGGGTAGTAAGGACTGAAACCCCAAGGTGGATGAAGATGGGATCGGTGTTTTAAGTGATTCAGTGCGCCGGGCGTCTCCGCTTGAGGTCTGAAGCACTACGACTGGCAACTGAAGGGGCTTCACTTAAGCTGTCGGCATGAACTCGCTAATCTTGCCTTTCGAGGCCAGGGCGGAACAGCTACAGTCCGAAGTCGCGGCCGCTGCTTCTGGCGATCTTGGAACCGAGGCAGGGAGGGGACATCGCCTTTGATGCAGCCTCCCCGGTACGAGACGCTGGGCGTAGGCCGCCCCCCTACGCCCTGCACTGCAAACACATCCCAAACCCGACCACCTAACACAAACCCGCTTCCCCCTAACCTAAAGCCCTCAAGCCCTGAACCATCGTAACACCCCCAGGCTCCCACTCCACGGACGCCTGAGATCCGGATGGCCACGACGTACGCAGAGGGTCTCACCAGGCCGGGGTCTCGGATCAAGGCTGCTAGAGTGGCCTGCAATTGGATTCTCGCCCAGATCTAGGTCCTTGTCTTTTTTGGAGTTTAAAGGGGCGAAGGGCCTAAGGGTTTCAGTCTTTTTTGGATGTTAAAGGGGTTGGGTTTCAGTGCCTTCAGAGTTCAGGCCACTTCTGGAGACTTACTGTGAAGCTTCGGTGAAGATTTCTGGTAGCAGGTCGACGCTGCGCGACCTGGGCATTCCTTTCCTGGAGGAAGCCATCCAGCTGAAGTGAGGAAAAGTGCGGCCGAGAGGGAGAAGGTGTGGAGTGGAGTTAGGGTTCAGGGATGATCATGGATGATGCTAGCCAACGGGTTTAGTTCGAGTCTTTAGCTAGGCAGCCCTGCTTGGAGCTGCAATCATTGCCTCGTCTAAATGAAGCATGCACCGCAGTATGCGCCCCAAGCATGTGGACAGACACCTGGGCATTCCCCTTGAAGATGCACAGACAGAGTGACTGGCGATTTGTTTAAACTTTGTCTAGTTATACTTAACATGATTTTCAATTATCATGTAGCCTCCAACCCTACTCCACGTTGAATTATTCGGGCCCATACTACGCCTCTTGACTCCTTTAAGCTGGGCGCCGCTGGAGCTTTTCAAGGCTCGGAGCAGAGGGAGAGAGTAGCCGTAGAGGCGGCTTCAGAGCGCCCTTGGGCACATGGGCACATGGCCGCAGACTCTCAAAGAACAGCTTACGTCTAAGACTAAGAGGTGGAAGCTCCCAAAGTTTGCAAGAGATTGCAAGATAGGGGTATCTTCATGAGGTCCATATAATGGGGGGTCTTACTATACTGAGAGGTCCATATAATGAAGGGTCTTTACTATACTGGGTCTACGTATAAGATCCCCTTTGAGTACTCAAGCGCTGGCCCTGCACCCCAAAGGCCCTCTCAAGAGGTGCCAAGAGGGCTTCAAACACAGTTTGAGGGCTTGGGACAGAAAGCTTGGAGTTCTGGCCTACGGCATAGAGAAATTCTGGAATTGAGGGCTGGGGGGGGTTTTAAGGTTCCTCGGTTTCAGGCATCGGTTTTCTCCTGAACTTCCGGGGCTTTCGGAGCCGCGAATCCCAAATCTTGCTCTCAGCTCCATCATCCTCCACACTCTTAGGGAGGGCTCAGGGTTGGGGGAGCCCAGGGATTCCGGGATTCAAGGGACCGGGATGTAGCCAGATGCGACGGACTGTGTAGGGGCCGGGAAGGTTGGGCTGAGCTTTGCTTCTTTCAGAAAGTTTTTTATATATCATGCTGCCGGTTATATTTATATTATTAATTACTTGGCGTTCTTCTGGTTGGCTCTTTAGACTTTAACTTTTGGGGTTTCTATATGAATTATAATAAGTTGGCTAAAAGTTTAACTTTTAGGAGGGGTTCAGAAGTCAGCCAAGAATTGATAAATATGAATTTATTGCTTTATTATATAATTTATTAGAAGAAGTTCGGTCGTTTGCTTCGCGGCAGGCCAAAGGCTCAGAGGCCCGAATTACCCATAGGCCCTGAAGTAGTTCCTTTTTTGGGGTTCATGTTTAGAATCCTATATGGTAATCCCAAAAAGGAACTACTATGGGGCCTATGGGTAAGCCAGAGGTCGGTCGTTTTTTCCTGCTGGGGCGTCTTTGGGGCTGGGCTTGAGCCGATGGATTCAGGTTTGGCAGAGAAGCTGCTCGGGCACCGCAATCCGGACCTAAGGTAGACGCAGGGTTTCAGATTGCAGACTGCAACATCCATATCCCGAAGTGCTCTATAGAGTGACAGCCGCTCCCACGTGCTGAACAAATCATAAGGAAGCCGAACCCCAGAACCCAGAAGCCCTAAACCCGCAATCCCTCAGGCGCCTCAAACTCCTAAACCTCTACATGGGAAATCCTTGGAGCTCTCACGCTCGGCACCTCAAACCGAATCTGGACAGAAATGTCGTCACGTGGACTAGCATCGTAGCGGCTTCAGGCCATAGGTGGCATGGGCTCCAAGAGCATCCGGAAGCGTCACAAGCAGCCAGCCACTCTAATCCTCATCAGCGCACCGAAGAGGGCTTACGAATGGGCCCTTCTTCGACCCGGCCTGGAGTTTCCATCTGAGTCTCTCCCCAGACCCGGGCCGGCTAGTCCCCACCTCGCCAGGCAATGGGTGCTGGCGCCAGCACCGCACCTCCTCCGGAGCCACCGCTGCCAGGGATCCGAAGGAGAGCTGCGAACTACTGCAAGATCGATAGTTGCGATCTCTGGCTATGAACGCTAGGCTATATAACAGAAGACAGCTCAAGCCCATACATTGCCACAAGTGCAAATACACACAAACACACCTTCGTATATTTGTCTCATTCCGAAAGTTGGTTGCTATTCGCGCTGCTTGTGCATCTTGGCCTGGGGCTTTAGGAAACATCGGCAGGTCAATCTCCCATGCCGCCGCTGCCCTCCCGTGCTGCCGGACGTGCTTTTTGGGGTTTCGGAGGTTCAGGGTTGAGGGTCCTGCTTGCAGTTGGAGAAGCTAGGGGAAGTCTGCTTACATGGAATGGGCTTAGACGAACTACCCTAAACCCCCGATCCATCACGTGGGCTGTGGCATGGGAACTCTTGGTAAACCTGCCGCTGCGCTCTAGACCCGAAGGCAGACAAGCCGACGACGTTGGAGCTGGCTATTCGGTTTGACGCCTGCTTGACAGGGAGACCTGACCCTGCCTCCTTGCAAGTCCGGAGTATGTTGACTGATGAGGCAGCCTGCACCCGCTACTGTATCCAAACCAGTCCGAAAAACCTGTACCACACGTTTACTAAACCCCCACAAGAGTTGAATCGCAAAACCCTAGACCTAAGTATTACGACAGGGCTGACTACGAGGGGGACACCTTGCTTTCGGCGGACGTAGGCGGAACCGGCTCTCGTGCTGCTCCCAGCGCGAGGTCTGCGTAGTGCTTTTCTGCGCTTTTCAGGGCTCAGGGTTTGGGGTTGGGTTCGGCTTCGGGTTCAAAGTTCAGGGTGAAGGGTTGGAGGTTTGAGCTTGAGTGAGGAAGGAGGTGCAGGGTTCCCGGTACAGGCTTTACGTAAGGTTCAGGGCAACTCATTGCAGCAGATATGAATGAGGACAGAATCCAAGTCCCAGCTATTGTCCTTCATGTCTAAACACCGACATGCGATAGAGAGCTCTTTGCTCCGGATGAGGTGGTACCAAGCCGTAAAGCCTGAAACCGTAAACTAAAACCGCACACCCTGAAACCTGATTGCCGAGGATGCGTTGCAGTTGACAGTACCTTGGGCGCGATGGCGATGCCTGGACAACCCTAGCACCATATCACTCTAAGACCCGAAACGCCAAAACCGCAAACTTGTAAACCCTGAAGTTCTATCCCCTGACCTTTGGCAGAGCAAACATCCTGAGGCTCTTGACCCCTGGGAGCCCTTTAAAGTCTGCTCACCTCCTGAACTTCTCGACCCTCAACCCTAAACCCCCAGACCCAAAGCCCTGAACCCTGTGTTGCCAAGGTTTGCACCTTTTCCTGCCCCCTGCAACGCTCCATCCACAAGAGAGTGACTTCTTTGTCCGATCGCTCAGCTTGGGGTAAGGGGGATGTTTAAGGGGTCTTGGGGTTAAGGGTTTCGGGTTTAGGCTTTGGGGTGCATGATTTGGACGTGTGGAAAGCCGGCAGGTAAAGCGAAGGGGTTTCCGTTTCTGTTCAACAAGACCGTCAACAGGGCGGGGCAAAGCCCTGCAAGCAGCAGCGGCACCAGCAGCACTAGCACCAGCACCATCACCTCCGAGACCACCGTCGTCGTCAGCATCGTCACCACCAGCGTCATCGCCTTCACCATCAAGGACAACACTGATAGAGACGGCGGCAACTACATCAGCAGCTCCTGTATTTTTCACTGCTTCCAACGTCCTGCTGCGAAGTCACCCTGCACGAGCTGTGCTTCGCCGCAGGGGTGAAAGCTCTGAGCAGTCGCATGGTTGATCCCATGCCACATATCATCTCCACACCTCTAGCAAGCTCCCGTCCACTGTGGCTTTGCCGACGCACGGAGTTCCACCGAACGAGCCACCACGTCGTCTTTGCTTCTCTCCAACGCTTCTGCAAGTGTTCACCTCCTGCTCCTCCTTCGACGCATTGGGAGTATGAAGGGATTCCAACAAGCACCATAGCTCTTCCATGAACGAGCTGTGCGCTGTATCTGTAGTTGTAGCATGGGCCATTTTCTTCGAGCTTCCAAGGGCCGAGCTTCCTAGATAGACATGTCAGGAACTATGTTCTAATTACTATCCAGGACTTGTGGGCTAATGTCAAGTTTAGCCTTTCTTGTGGGTGAGCCTAGCCTTCCAAGGCTGGCAGCACAGTGCAGTGCATTCCGAACCAGAATCCTCCTCAAATTAGTTTTTGCCAGAAGCGTGGCTCCAGGTACCCCCCGAGCGGATGATCTATGAGAAACAGTCTCACACCCCAGTGGTTCGGAGTGGCTTCAGGTTTTTCGGGCTGAAGGGTTCACGAATCAGCAGTTCAGCGGGTCGGGAAGACTCTGAAAGCAGGACTCCTCCAGCCCCCCTATGCGGAGCGGACCACTTGACTCTGAAACCCCTGAACTAGCACAGGGGCCCTGGTCGTTGCGTAGAGAGCCAAACCCCAGATCCGCGATCCTTTCAGGAACTGATGCACGGGTGTGCTGTTGATGTAGGCAAGTTTCAGGCCTCAAAAGCTTGAAATGCTTAACAAGACAAGCTGCTCTTCAAGCAAGCCAAACTTGAGAAGAACCCTTTCGTGACGTCTGCCTCTGCTCAAGAGGCAATTTTGGTTGCAGTGTTTTCTAAAAGACGAAGCATTCGTCGGTGGCTCTGCTGTAAACGGCGATCACCCCTGGGTTCAGAAAACAGGGGTTGACATCAGGGAAGATCCTCAAAGCCTTAAGTCGCTGACCGCCCCGCAGCATCCCTTCCAGGAGCAAAATAGGGACAGGGACTACTGTGCGACACTTCAAGATTTCAGTTACGTCTTGCAGGGCCTTTAGGAAGAGAATGGAGGAGAATAAGATCCGGGGCCCTTTCAGCTTGATTGCTTTCGTGACTCAGGAGGCTTATGAAGTCTTCACATTCCATGGCTTATAGGAACCAAGTGAATGAAGGCAACTGGTACGTGCCCCAAACTCTAGAATCCTGAAACTCTCGGACCCTAAGTGCCCGTAACCCCCAAAGCGTTAGTCCTGGAATCCTACACCCCAAAATGCCTTCGTGCCCTCACCCTCCGGAATCCTGCACCCCAAAACGCCTTCATGCCCTCACCCTCCGTCCCCACAGCCTTCGAGCTTCAGGTTCAAGAACGAGCGTTTCGAAAGTTTCATGGAAGTGCTCCAGACATTCCTCAAGGAAGCTGGCATCGTCAAGCGGGGGGACTCAGAAGGTCGCTGAAGGCATTGGGGAGAGATCTTCCTTGGACCTTCTGATTGTCATCTGTATACTCTATAATTTAATCATATATATAGGGTTTAGGGTTTAGGGTTTAGGGATTATATATATATATAATCATTATGGCATACCCCAAACCCTAGTCTACTTAGGCCCCATATCGGGCTGCGGGTTTTGGACTTAACCCTTACAGGGCTTCAGGCTCAGAGCTGTCCCGGCCAATTCATAGAGTGGGTGGTTGTCAAAATTATGGTCCTTTTTTGGGTCCTTATTATAATACGGCACCTAGTATTTAGGGTATCCCAAATGGGACCATAATTTTGACAATTACCCGAGTAGCTTCGTTGAGGTTTCAATGTTGAGCCAGCACATCCTCGGATCTGCAAGCTTCCGCGGCTTCCGAAACTCACTGGAGAATTGGCGTCAAATGAAGCCATGAAGTCATCCCCATATTATGGGAGTCAGAAACCGGCGCTCCGGATTCGACCCAAATTATTTCGAATGAAGCAAGGCCGCCCCTCTTGGCCTGCCTGGCCGTGGCCGGTGTTGCGGGCGCCCCGGCATCTGAGGTCCTACACTTGATGCTCTCAATCTGGAGCAGTGATCTTCGTAGAGCTTTAAGATGAAAGAGATTGAGGCATCACGGCTCATCGCTGCAATACTACGTTGGCAGTTTCATCACGCTGTTGTCATCACCAAATAGAGTTGCCATCATCTCTTTGCGTCATCATGAACAACATCTGCACATCGTCACTAGCATCATGCTCACCATCATCGTACCCGTCGTACCAGCATCCGGAACGGATGTTTTTTTTTTGCTGTTGCTGCTGTCTTGTTGTTGTGCAAGCCCCGGCGAAC